CAATGGCGGAAGAGGATACTAGGACCACTAGAAGAGAGGGTTCTAAGTCCTGAGCTATTCCAAAATGAGGTAACAGTAGGCTTATTCTTATTAAGCGTTTATGTGTATCATTGTAAGAAAACGCATGACCTCTTGTGCGCAGATGTTGACAATGCGTTGTGCTCGTAAGTTGGACACGGCTGTGTGCGCGGAGCTGAAGGCCGTCTCCAAACTTACAGCAGTTTACCTTGAGAAGTGGAAAATTAAAACGGAGTTATTTTCCACGTTTTAGGATAGGTTAACCGTCAACTATTTCAAGGAATCTCACAAATGTCTTGGATGTGAAAGGATTTGCGAATCCATACAATGAATTGACCGGAGGAAATTACATTACGAAGAATTCGCCATCCATCCGTCGTCGGCCATTCTTTTTTCAAAAGAAAAGTTATTTATAATTGCACTCATCTTATACTCATGATTGTTGGAATATTTGTATACATATTATTGATGTCAAAAGAACAAATTTGTATAATTTTATTATTATGAAAATTCAATTGTTGGATTTCGTTTATTAATTTTATAGAATTTGTTATGTTAAACGTATTTGGTAGATTAATATCGGACACGCACCTCACACGCAACCCGGTATGTTATAATACTTTAAATATTTTGTGATTACTTTTCTTTTGCTTGTATTACGATATATTGAGTAATTCTTTAAAATTATTCCATTTCCTATGTCAGTAGCCAGGATCAGGATATGAAAATTAAAATTGATTTTGCAGATTTAAGGCATCCAGGCGCAGCCCTCAAAATTAAATGGAAGAAGCCTGGAGGTTAAACAAATAAAATCTAACGGGTAGAACAAATCAGTATACGCAGGGCAGCAAGTGCAACAGTTTTTAATTTTAATTGATAGACCTGACGATGATGGAATGAACATCGAAACATGTCGTCATTTTAAAATGTAACAATATCAAATGTTGAAATGTTATAATTTTATGTGATTTTAACAATCTATAAGCTTGTGTAAAGACGGTGAATAAAATTATTGTATTGAAGAACACAAGCATGACGCAATTAAGATATAACTCATGACATAGTTGGGCTCGGTCTAAAAACCCTTCACATTTCGAACCCTACAAGCGAGAAGTGTCACTGTTGCTGAAAAATAACCCGTCATCTTACAGCGTTTCGTACAAAATGGAATTGTACACAAATTTTAAAATATATCCTTTAAAATTCAACACGGAAAAGCTTAAATCCTTAGTTGGTATGTTGTGTTCGACTCTTCTCGTGTGCTCGTGTTTTCTACAAGAGGAGTGACGGCATTTCGTCCAGACTCGGGTAGTGGAGCGCGACAATAGTTGCCCCCCTTCCCAAAAAAAGAAAAACGTCCACTGGGCATACAAACCAAATTGTGAGATTTCAGGTTCTCACATCGGCGAGTACGAAGATGACTGTCTCTAAGAAGTTTCACCGTGTTGTCTGGTAGTTTACCGACGTTCACTGCTTGCTGCCTCCATCATCAGGGCAGCAAACATCTCTGAAAAGTCGGTAAATTTCTACAAGTCTATACGGCTCAACATCTCCTAAGTCAGTCATCTTGAAACCAAATTATGTTTCAGGCCACTGGTAAGCTCGTTTGTATTCTGTTCTAAGAATAGGCGGGCTATATCGCGGTAAATTTTCCAAGCAAGTGCGTCAGCCTTTTACTGGAAGGCGCATGTAAGTGTTCAAGTGAGCATATCGGCATGCAAATTTGAAGCCATTTTTCCGTTTGTTTCCTCTAGCAAGCAATTTAATGTCGAGTTAAATGTTGACAGTATTCAGTGAAAAGAATTAAGAATCAACATGTTATTCAAGTCATTAAGCGGAATTACCAAAGCAAAGAGAGGAAGATGCAAGAAGCAACGACCTAGGAAGCCTTTAGGTCATACACATAAAAAAAATCTCAAAAGATTTAAGCCCGAAAGGCGAATAAACTCTGCAATTATTTTTTAACACAGTATGTTATGAACTAGAAGGACTTTTTACGAAATACAAAAGGTAAAGTTCATATTAAGTTTGTATCCTTTCCTTGTCGTCAGATAAAATTATTGGATGTGTTGAATGTGAATTGCGACGTAACAGAACAACTACCGAAGATGTCTCTTTTGTGCGTTGTTACGCCGTGTAGGTCTGGTAAAGTTTACCGATGTTTCATATTTGCTTGAGGTCTACATCATCAGGGCGCCCGGATGATGGAACCAGCAAGTACTTGTGAATCATCTACCAGACTACACGCTGTGACCAGCTAGTGACCACATATTCTGCATTTATCAGATTTTGGAGAAGGAACTACAGTACGAGGTGCGATCGGAAAGTTTCTAGACTGCGCCTATAAAAACCCGTACACTTATCTCAGGTATTAAATTCATCCATCACCCTCGAAGTAGTTCCCCTGGGAGTGAACACAACGATCCCAGCGCCGCTGC